TGTAAAAAGATGTGTTCTTTATATGTGACGTCATCAGGCATGGTCGCCTTTTTTCATGCCGTCACAATAGGAAATTCAGAGGAAAGGAAGTAAATTCAAAGTCATAATCGGATTTTAACCAATGAAGAACTGAGATCAAACGAACCACACGTTGATTATTTTTTTTTTATACAATGGGTGCAGAAAGGGATAAATTGACGACGAATTAGAGAAATATATATATATTTATATATATATATATATATATTCATGTGTGTAGTGTTATATAAAAAGTCTAAATAACAGCCCAACAATGTTAGATCTGTACATTTGCGGATGCAATTGTTTTGTTCTTCTTCCTTGTCCGGGATTCAAACTCATGCTACTGAGATACCGTGATACTAAATCGCCTTGCACTATGCCCGACGCGCTAGACCACTCGACCACCTATGCTCGACAAAAGTCAAGCTTTCGGTGGCCGGGTGTTACCTTTACTCGTCAGTTTGTATCTAGCGTCCTAACACAGTACGTAATATATAAGGCATGAAGATGGAATTTTTACAGATGAGCTGAATTATCTATCGTAAATAATCTTACAAATTAATGTAGGATGCAGACATATTATAAGTACGTCTCAGCCAGTGAAACACAACGACATATTTCATCCAATGGATCACCATTTATGGTGATACAAGCCTGAAAACACATACTGTACTAGTATATACAATTCGTATAAACAACAATATATATATATATATATATATATATATATATATATATATATATATATATATATATATATATATATATATATATCATGTGTATTATATACTTGTTTTTTGTTCTTAAAAAACATATTTATAGCAAAAGGCTGTGGTACAGATGATTTTCACAGATATTTTTTTAATGAAACAGAAGTAGCACCATCGATGGCACTTTTTGCACAAGAAGTTTCATCTTGGTGTTTTCTATCATAAGTTCGTGTGTAGTGTACTGTATGATTTTATCTTATCTGTTCATCCGATTATGTATATGTGTGTTTGTCTTTCACATATGTTCATCATTACTTCCTTACTATCCGCTTCCTTTTTCTGTAGCACGAAGAAAAACGCCATCGTTGTCAAAGGGTCTTTTTTTATCTTGCAAAAGAATCTTGTCATATAATCGAAATTTAGAAATCTAGTGATATAATATTGTATTAAGTATGATCTATAGATTCATACTATACAGACATGTTCACAATGCAATCATTTTGAGAGTATAATTTACGTATTGCAGATATTATATGAGAAATACATCTTAACAAAAAAGAAGTGAAAGTGTGAGCTACTGCTCACTGATGATACCCGCGCCCAAACATTTCGATAAACTGGAAGTTGTTGAGTGATGAATCTGAAAACAGACCATACGATGTAGATGACTCATATAAAAACTGAAACAAAATTTCAGAAATCCATGTATTGCAATTCCTGTGACAGGTGCGACGAAAATTTTCAACTTGGGTATCATGTGTAAAATAATAAAAGTGTTCGTTTGACAGGAAGTTATTGAGTGATGGATCTGAAAACGCATCACAAGGTATAGCTGACTTAAATAAACTTTGAAACCGAATTTCAAAAATCCTTATGATGCAGTTCCTAAGAAAGATGCCACGAAAAATATTGATTGGACGGATGGACGGACAGACAGAGGTAAAAAAGTAAATTCCCACTTTTTAAAGCGGGGTATCATAACAAACTGTACCATGTAAATGAAATCAATGTAAGTTTGAACTCTGCAAGAAAGACATGCAAACCTTAAAATTATTTATACACCAGATATAGTGACAAATTTGAAATAGTATATACGTAACAATCCACATTAACCAATGAAAAATGAAAGAGAGAAGAGATGCAAATGAAACATGCCAGAGTGATGTATTCATCTTACTATCATTACATCATCGTATATAGTTGATTAATATCTGTACAGTGTATAAGATAAAAACTTGATCATTCCACTTTTGTATTTGTGGATATTGTGTTGTTGACCATTTTTGGCTTTTACAGTTTTTCTTTATCTCCAGTAGTTTTTTCCAAATACATAAAAAGTGTAAACATCGTTATTCTTAGGATTAATACACCCATTACAACTAACTATTTCACTAATGTTGACTTTTTGTCTGTTTTCAGTTGTTGCATATCTTTTTACAGTCTACATTTTTTCTATAATAGTGTTAGTATACCATGGGAAAAAATCGATGGAAATGATTAATAAAGATGATTATGTTTTTAAGGATTCTATTGCTAATTTAAGTCATATTGGTATATTTGCAGATTGTGTCTTGTTGATTATATTTTCTATGCTGAACAATTTCTTTACTATGAAATTATCAGAATCAAAATGTCAAAACAGTATATAATAGCATTATTGAAGGACAATACCACCAATAAGAAATCGACGTACCCTAATCAGATATGTTAACAAAAGTGTAGATCTTGTCCTTCTGAAAACTGTTTATGTGCACAGTTTGTCGTTATCTACTGTACTAATTAACGAAAAATGCACAAAAAGTGAACTCGTTGGTTATGAAAAAAAAATTATTTATAAATTTCTCTAGATCTGTCAATATTTTTACGGTAATAGACAAAAGCAAAAAAAAAAGAAAAATAGAAAATTTGTCTTTTCATTGCATTATTTCATTTGGGAATTTGTTTTACAGTATTAATGTTAAAGAGTGTAGATATATATATCAACATTTGAACATATCTGTCCCTTCTCGAAAATAAACTATAGCGGTTATCCTGATAAAACACGAACTTGTATTTAACACCTGTGTTCTATATATCATAAAGTTTATCATGCAGGCTGAGATATTTTATTATAAACTAATTATAATTATTAAGATTGTGATAAAACTAGGTTTAAAAAACCCAAGTAGTTTTATTTGAGTCGATTTTGTAAAAGTTTGATAATGATGTCGACAACGACAGACGACGGACGCCAAATGATAACAATAACTCAATTGATCAGGTGGTTCAGACCCCAAAATGCCTGTAAGCAATAAGTAAAAACCTAATAGGGTAACAAAAATGTCATGTATCATCACTGATAACGACAGAGAAGTTTTCCATTGTTAACATAATACCGTTTAAAACGAATTTAATAAAATATTAACTTTACGATATGTTTTTTTTGTCTTTACATCATGGCTTTGGTATAAGTTATGAAACACAAAAGAGAAATGGTTAATTCACAATGTTCACCTTTTTATCCATTTTAAGCTCACCCGGTCAAAAAGGGCCAAGTAAGCTTTTCTAATCACTTGGCGTCCGTCGTCCGTCGTCGTCGTCCGTTAACTCTTACAAAAATCTTCTCCTCTGAAACTACTGGGCCAAATAAAACCAAACTTGGCTTAAATTATCCTTAGGGTATCAAGTTTAAAAAAATGTATCTGATGACCCTGCCAATCAACCAAGATGGTTGCCATGGCTAAAAATAGAACATGGGGCGGGGGGAGGGGGGGTCTGGTAAAATCAGTTTGGCTTATATATCTGAAACTGAAGCATTAAGAGCAAATCTGACACACACTGAAAATGTTCATCAGGTCAAGATCCATCTGCACTCAATTTCCCACACGCATCAGACAACCTGTTGTTGTGTTGCTGCTCTGAAGTGGTAATTTTAAGGAAATTGCGATTATTTGTTATTATTTTGAATTTTATAATAGATAGAGACAAACTGTAAACAGCAAAAAGTTCAACAAAGTAAGCTCCACAATTAAGTCAGCATTATCAAAATAGTCATTTACCCCTTCAGGAGTTATAGCCCTTCAAATTCTATTTTTCACAATTTTTCGTAAATTTTTGTACTCTTTTACAAAAATCTGTTCCTCTGAAACTGCTGGGGCAAGTGCATTATAGATAGAGATAACATGTAAACAGCGAGAATGTTCAGTAAAGTCAGATTTACCATCACCAAAACAGAGAATTTTTCATGAATTCTATTCTAGTCTTTAATGTTGTAGAGCGTCCTTTCCTTAATATACACTGCAGCAGGTAGAACAAGATGGACGACACATGCTCTTTAGAGTATCTAGTATTTTTGTTGTTGTTGGTTTTCATCAATTTTCCTACGATACGATATAGTTGTGCCCTAGCTTAATACTGTCATGTATTCGCAGTGTTTGATCTTTTTTTTAATTATATACTAGACTATCTAAAATTATACTCATTGTGCATGTTGTGTCCTATTCACGGTTGTGACATTTTGACTGATTCGGTATTTACATGTCGAAAGATGAGTGCATAGCAGGAGACGCATCCCTATAATTCCTAGGAGTCTTGCGATTCAGCCATAAGCTGCGTTTTACTTAGATGCATCTGATGAATCGATTTGAGATCTGAACATCGTAAACTATTGTTGCCTATATTTAACTAAGAAAAAAAATGTGTCTAATTCAAAATTAAGAAAAGCTTCTTAAATGTAATACAGTATAAGTGAAAACGAATCCAACCTGATAATAATGAACAAATGACTAATTATGGCATTAAAGAAAAAAAAAAACAACAACAAACAAATGACATCTCGATACTTAAATGTCTCATCAGTTATCATTTATCGTATTGTAATGATAAAACAGAAAGAAATTTATTTATGACTTGTAAAATAATACATTTGTCGGCATATAACTGGAAGAAAGTGTAATATGTATTTTTGTTTTATTTTCATTGTTGGATTTAAAGTAGCACAGTACAAAAAGCAACATTTTTTTTCTAAAAATAGGTGGATTGAGGTTTTATAAAACACCTGTCAGAAAAAAAACAATCACACTATCAAAAGCTATAGAGAGAGAATTAAAAAATAAATGAACAGGTATCAGAAATTTGCAATAGGACGATATTTCATGTTACGAATTTTTTTTAGGAGAATGTCAAAAATAAGGAAATTGAGTAAAACATTCTATATTCATTTGCACATAATTATAATTCTGGAAATTCCCCATATCATTTTGACTGACTAACTTCATTGTATGTTACTTTGTATTGTGCTACCTTCATGCTTATAGCTTCCACAAATATCCATTCATAAATCATCATTCTGGAAAATCCGACTTTCCTTTCTCAGATCAAAAAATAAAGGCAGTACAAACTATCAGGTTCATTCGTGAAAGTTCAAAATTGCAAATCAAACAAATACTTGTATCCAACACTTGATTTACCTGTCAATTCATCAATTATTGGTACTTGTTTAGTGTTTTCGATGTGATCATTCTCTGCATATGCATCAGTCTTCAATTTAATATTGTGCCACTCCGTCTTTTCAAGTTCAAGTTTTGGTTCGTTTCTCATCAGGGCTCGTATCCGTAACCTGTTTTCTGTACTGTTTTTTCGGCCAATGGCATTGCATATCAACCCATATTCTGACTGTTCGTCCCTCCACGATTTTGTGAATGTCTGAATATTTAACTTCTTAATAGCATCACGTATATCGTCATATCTGATGTGTTTGCGAAATCGATACTTTGTCTTTTTCTCTCTTCCCATTTTGAAAATACCTTGAAAAATATATGCCATAGTTGTTATATTTATTGAATAAAAGATCTAATAATTAAAATAAGAGGCCAACCTTTTTATTACTACACAGTACTTATAGATATGATATAAAAAGCATAATACTATGATATTCCTTCGGTCAAGTGTCTTCCCTTTCATATATGTTTATTTGGTTTACCATAATATTGACATTGCATTTTTTAAACAAGGGGATTATGTGTTTTGAGATATAGTTTGGTTACAAATCATGCAAAAAGATAGTGGTACAAAGTGAATCACTGAATTGAACAATTGTTTTTGCATTTGTAGATTTTGTGAAATTAAGTCTGAATTTGTTATAAGAAACCATTAAACACAGTATATTTCTCGTGTATGAATATTTGAAAAATATGAACTGTCTACACTCATCATTTTATAGACACTCTATAATGAGCAAAATGGTTAAACTAAATTATATAATAACTTTCTTTGAAATATATGAAAAATGCAATATAAAGCATCATTGTGGTTTTGAGTTGAATTTATGACATCGAGGTCCTTTGTGATTGGCATTTGGCCTTTTTATGACAGTGCAAGTAGTAGACTTTATCACTGCAACAGTCCACCAGAAACCAAATATTGCTGTTTGATCACTATAAAAATAAACTGACTCTTTCAAACTACACTTAAATTCGGAATATTAAGATAGTCGGAAAGATGATTTAGTTACAAATAATGCTAATGATCCAATACTCTCTAAAGGGGATTAGTAAATTAAATTCCATATGAGAGCGTACCGTATCTCGGCCCAAATGGAATTTACTGACCCCGTATATACCGTATAAGGTCACTACCAAGTAACTTATTATATCATGTATATATCAAACCTTTCCTAAACGAAATTCCTTTGGAAATTCTTAATAAGGCGATATAATGTTGTTCCCTCGTATGTGATATAGATGTAGATACAAACGACGTGAAATAATGTTCTCATATCTAGTACTATGTTTGTCGTTCGCTGAGACTTACCTTTATACCTTAAGAGCTCTTTTAGATATGATAGTCTTACGTTGAAGCTGTGCAGCTGCAATATGGAATCTTTTATCACACCTAGAATTAGGGAAACAGTCAAGATGTAAAAAGAAAGACTATTCGCAATATTAAAAGCACATTGTCCTCTAAAGTACCACAACTTACGGTTTTTGAAGATGTCACAAAGATATATGGAATACAGAAGAACATTTGTTTGGCAAAATCAGTAATCCTCTACAATTGATTTACGGCATACTTGAACCTTTTCCACATTTTTTAAAACAACTTAATTGACAATGATTGAAGGGGTGGTGCAAACCAATCGCCATAGAAGTAAGACGTAAAAATGTCAACAGAACTGTAAACACAATAGTATGCATTTAAATTAAACTTATTCATCACACCCTTTGGTTTTAAACCTGAAATCCTAATCTTGTTTTAGTGACTTCTGTGCAATCAAGAAACATTTGTGTTTTGACAGAATGCCATAAAGCTTCATGTACTTGTGTGTTAATACTCGTTTATCATTGTGATAGGTGATATTTAGATAAATGCAACATTAAACCTTGAGAGCACGTTTAATGAACAACAGTTTATTGCATTTTCAAAATAATACACTTTTGAAGTGTTCTTTTCGTTTAGAAGACCAATGCCACAAAAGACACCAATTATTCTTACGAAAGCAACAGCAATTAAAAATTCCTAAAGAGTAATACTAACTAGGCTCGGCAAATTGAGACTGATACCCCTATATCCATTTCAGTTGCTGCTGTAAAATTTTGTATTGAGACAATGACTTTTGATGATAACTGGCTTTCAGAAAAAAATTTAAAATGTGCAGTTCAAAGTAAGGTCAGAATGACATAATTTTGGTATCTGATAAATACAGATCCTATGATGAATCTGCATAGTTACAAAGTTTTTGAAGTAATGTGGTGTACAAGAGAGTTATACTCCGTAAACAAATCAGATACCGTTGTACTATCATTACGGTAAAGGGTCAAAATCAAGTTTAGTATGGTGTCTGATGAGTTTATTTATCTTCATACCAGCGTTTTTTTTCATTTTTGCTGGTGTGTTTTGTATATGCGAATTTTGTGTTTCTTTGGTTCTTATAACGTGACTCTGTACTTTAAAAGATTCCGTCATTATGTTATTGTTCTATTATTTGTCATTATGTTATTGTTCTATTATAAATTTGAAAATACTTTGAACGACAAACGACAAATTTATTTTACTCGCGTAGTGGTATTTACCATATGTAGATTCTTAAAAATTCTAAAGAACTTCTGGACAATTTTAAATCTCGGTCTATTTCTGAAATTAATTCTAACATAACTTTTGATTTCTTAACCCTGTATACCAACATTCCCCATGTGAAATTATAAAATTGTTTTGAATAAACATTGAACGACAAAATTTCTTCTTATGTGACGTTTACATTTTCTGACGTCAGAAATGCGAAGCAATGAATGTGGTTTTAATTTGATAGATGCTTTTGTGCTTTTTTGTAAATGGTTGTTTGTTTTGATATTGTAACACAGTGATGACTGCTGTACCCATATTTTGACTATTTTATTTATTATGTCTGTTTTGTTCACGCATCGTTGTAAATATAACGGAATTTGATGAGACTGTCGTACAAGTGAGAGATTTAGCGTTATAAAACCAGGTTCAATCCACCATTTTCTACATTTGAAAATGCCTGTACCAAGTCAGGAATATGACAGTTGTTGTCCATTCGTTTGATGTGTTTTGTCATTTGATTTTGCCATGTGATTAGGGAATTTTCCGATTGAATTGTCCTCGGAGTTCAGTATTTTTATGATTTTAGTTTTTGTTAATGTTAATGCCAACGTACTAAAATTATGCCACATCAACAAATTGGAAAACCTGTTACTATCATAGATGTCAAAGTCAAGATCAGCGTGAATTGACTTAAGCATATGACACACCACAATCCAATGATGCCTCAGTATTCCAATGTTGATAAAAAAAAGTTCTTCGGTACAAAACGTATGCACAGAACACAAAAAAGGCAAGGTGTTATTGTCAAACATTTGAAAGATTAAAGTGAAGATCCGAACGACGATTCTTCCCAATTTAATGATGCATTATCGTATCAGGTTCGAGTACAGTTCATGAGAAAAAGACCGAAATGCAAACACTTGACATTGTCATATGCAAGGAACTTGAAAAAGGTCATGGTCAGATACAAGCAGCAAGAAATTGTAATATCGTGGTCAGATGTGGGATTTCAATTGACAGAAAACTTCTGGTAATGTGTAAGCAGTTCTTGAACAATGAAAATGGTTGCAAGGAAAATGGACATAAGACCAGTCAAAAGCTTCGTAAAATAAGGCAGATGATTAAGACAATTGATATTTGGAAATATGAAATGATTAAGAATACCTATATAAAACTATACGAATTTTTACCTATTGATATAACGTTTTGTTATGATTTTACTAGGTAAACATGACTGACAATAAAACACTGCAAATTACATTTGATGTTTATGAACAATATTGTAACCAACCGAATAAAACTTCAGTATGGGATTGTACTTTTATGAGCAACACGACGGGTGTCACATATTCAGCAGGATCATTCCAATATACATAAGATCCACGGGGTTCTAGCTCGGTGTGTTTTGCTCACTATTTATTTTTCTATGTTGTGATTTGTATGTTTTGTAATTTGCTATTTTGCACTGTTTTGTCGTACTTGCCTGTTTATTCTCAGTTCGTTTTTTGAATTATGAGTTTGATACTCTTGTTTGCATATGTACCAATCTTTGAAACATACGGAAACTCAAAGTTAATACTGAAAAAAACTGAATTCCACTTTTGAACTTCGAACGCTAGTTGTCTCATTGAAATCATACCGCCTCTCCTTATTTTTATAAAACAAGAATGTTTGTTTTGCTAAAGAATGGTACGACAAAAATGTGGTTTTCAAGTTTAAGAGGATACTAAAATAATTGAAGATTAATGCAATTATTCAGGAAGAAATTTTGACTACATTTGTCGTGTAGGTGGGATCAGTATTTTTGACTTAAAAGCTCTCAAATGTGCTATCTTCAGAAGAATAAAACATACATAATTACCTATTGATATTCAGTGACAACTGTTCGATAATTTGATAGCACCTATATTACTTTATCCTACCTCCCATACAATTCATTGGTTAAAAGCAAATACGTGGGAGTCGTGTATATTCAATAGTGTGTCAATGAGCAGTTGGTTCCTTACCAACTGCGTTTAGTAGGCAGGCGGAAATTGTTGTGTATTCAATTTGTCTTGAATTTAGCACAACTCAGCAAACCTCCAACTCGCACCACTTAAACACTCTCACTAGTTACTACAACTTGCATCACTTTATCAGACTCGCACCACTCAAAACAAATATAACAAACTCGAAACGTGTTTAATCTTTGATTGTTTTCTTCAAATTTTAGTAAATTCCTCCTTTCTCGGGGCATCTGTGTCACACAGATACATAACCCGCACCACTCGAAGAAAAATTACTACAAACTCGCACCACTGAAGAATTGAATTGTTTGAAATCATCAAAGAGTTCTGGATTGTCTTCTCTAGAGTTATTTCCTGCGTTCTTGGAACACCCGCACATTTCGAAAAAAAAACAATAATACAAACACGCAGTCTGAGAGTATTACATGGTAATACATAGTCCCCTACCGGTTTACAATTAATTGTACTGGAACAAAATGCAAACTTGGTCTATAACTTGTCATGGTGTAAACTATATAACATATATCAATATCTTCAAGCATGACAAAACAGTCTTGAAAACTGTTATTTAAGTGAATTATCTAAGACCAAGGACCATTAATCTGCAAAAATGTATCAGACCGAAACAAAATTCGAACTTGATTTGTAACTTGTCATGATAAAACACCATTTATCAAATCAATATTGTCAAGAACGAAGAAAAGAAGTGTGGCAAACTGATTTGCTGGACTGACTGATGAACATACAGACAAACAGACGGACGGATTGCAACCTATAGTCCCCTTCGACTTCGTCGGTAGAGGACTTAATACCACCACTGAGAAATGTTTTGATCATCAGTATTCTAGGTTGTCTTCCTCTTCTCTCAGTATTTCCTCCATTCTTGGAGCACCTGTGTAACACCTGTGTAACACCGAGATAGAAGCTAATAATAAGACACTCTAATTCCTATTGAAGAAGAACTGGAAACTAATCAAAACTATCAACACATTTTCAAAAACGAAGCTAACTGACGCTGTCTATCATCATAAGCATTTCAATTAGTCTTCAAGCCAAGCTAGTGCAGTGATATTTGTAGTGGTATTGAAATTAGAAACATTTCATATCATTGGTTTTGAAGTTCTGCTTCATTAACAATTCTACCGTTAAGGCTATCTGTTTTGTTCAGTTTACTTTTTTTTCAATGACAAGAGTTTTATAAGAATGTTCTAAATTGATTGGTGTTCTGGTTTTTGCGATATAATCAGTTGGAAATTTAACAAAAGAATGGCTCTCTCTACATTTTTTACCCATTTAATATTGGCAGCTCTTATCTTTCAAAAAGTATAAAAAATGGATGTAATCAGGTTTTCAAAAATTTCTTTTAAACAATACGTAATACCAATATAAAAAGAAAAGTAATGCTATCGGGCAAAATTTGCAATATTAGTTAGCAATATCCTTTAACTATACGTTCCGCTATATAGATGATGTTCTCTCACTAAATAATACAAAATTTGGTGACTATGTTGAACGAATCTATCCCATCGAACTAGAGATAAAGGATACTACAGATACAGTTAAATCTGCCTCAGATCTTGACGTACATCTAGAAATTGACAATGAGGGTCGGTTGAAAACAAAACTTTACGACAAAAGAGATAATTTCAGCTTCCCAATTGTGCACTTTCCATTTCTATGTAGCAACATTCCAGCAGCGCCTGTATACGGAGTATATATCTCCCAATTGATACGATATTCCCGGGCTTGTATTTCCTATCATGATTTCATTGATAGAGGATTGTTGCTCACAAGGAAGCTATTAAACCAAGAGTTCCAAATGGT